ACCCTCCCAGCGTTTACTAACACCCTCCCCACCCTCCCAGCGCTTACTACCACCCTCTGCATCGCACGCACTGCTCCCTGTACTCACTGTGACCATCCACACCACATCCCCTGCCTACTCCTACCCTCCCAGCTCTTACTCTCATCCTCCCCACCCTCCTGTCGCTCACTCTCACTCACCGCATCGCACGCGCTGCTCCCAGCACTTGTCCTCCTTCTGCACGGAGGCGGCGAGCAGCGTCACCTCGTGACGCACAGACGCGGCGACGTCCGGCATGTTGCGGTGCGTGCGCAGGGCGCCGGCGATGCGCCGCATCAGTACGCCGTTCAGCTCGTCGGTCGCACGCGCGTTGTCCTTGGTGAGCAGGCAGAGCAGCTGGCGCACGTCGCCGCGGCTCTGCGCTGTGCCGCGACGCAGGTTGTAGTCGATCAGCTCGCCGATGAGGCCCTGCCGACGAAAAACGCGCGAGTGCTGCGATGACGTGTTACGCGTGCACGAGTATTGATGACGTTTGACATGGATGGCCGATGAGGCCCTGCCGACAAAAAACGCTCAAGCGCTGCAATGACGACGTGTTACGAGTGCACGAGTATTGATGACGTTTGACATGGATGGCCGATGAGGCCCTGCCGACAAGAAACGCACGAACGGTGATGACGACGTATTACGCGTGCACGATTATTGATGACGTTTGACATAGATGGCCGATGAGGCCATGCCGACAAGAAACGCACGAACGGCGATGACGACGTGTTCATGGTTCATGCAGGACTGCAATTTTTTTCAAGGACTTTTCAAGGACATTTTATCGGAAATTCAAGGACATTTTATCAGACGTTTTATCGGAATTCATACACAGAACAAAACATACGTGAATTAATTTAATAACCCCATTCTTAATCACTCCATGTCACCTCTAAAACTTACCTGGATCACATTAATAAACCCTTCTAAACACTGTCACTTCTACAACATACCTTGATTTTCTGACTGATTTTACTGACTTACTGTAATTTGTGATCATCATTTAACTGTCTATCGTGTCTATAGCTTTAAGCTCATTTAACGCCATTTTTATTGAGGTTTGCACATTATTGATAGTACAAAATTACGTTTTATTACAGGCAAGGATTCTTTCTAAAAATTCAAGGACATTTTCATGAAATTAAAGGACTTTTCAAGCACAAAATCAACATTTACTAAATTCAAGTACTTTTCAAGGACTCCCCTCAAATTCAGGGACTTTTCAAGGACTGTGCGAACCATGGTGTTACGCGTGCACGAGTATTGATGACGTTTGTCATGGATGGCCGATGAGGCCCTGCCGACAAAAAACTACCATTGATGACCTCTGGTGATGCAGTCGTCCGCCCGTTATAGCGGCATTTTCCGAATCATCCAAATCATCAAAATTAATTATCACAAGTATAAAACTGAGGTATCGGCGTACCGAGGCCCTGCTGACGAGTGAAGCGCGTGCGGCGATGACGACATGTTATACGTGCACACGATTATTTATGATGCGTTACACGTGCATCCGACCATCGAGGGGCACGTCGTGAGCGATTGTGTAAGCCCACAAAAACACAGGTTTGACTATATCTGCAATTTCTGAATGCTTTCTTTGATTGCTTGAGCATCTGGGGCCCGTTGTCAGAAAGAAAATTAGTCTTAACATTAGTCTTAACATGAATTTTTTCTCTTAGACCGTCGACAGAAACGCTGCAAAGTTGCCTGAATGGAAAATCGTAGCAGATTTCCTCATAACAATGGGAAACAAAGCGCTGTCGACAGTCTACGAGAAAATGTTAGTGTTAAGACTAATGTTAAGACTAATTTTGTTTCTGACAACGGCCCCCTGGTAGACTAGCAAGGGTTTGGGACAGTATCACTGGACAATGCAATGGCGGTGGCGCGTGCAAGCGAGATGGAGCCTTGTAAAAACTCCCTCCCGGCATTACCTGATTGCAGAGGATCTGTCTGGTCTTAGAGTTGATGGCGAGAGCTCGCAGCAGCGTGATGCAATGCTCCATCGCAGCGCTGGCGCAACCATAGCAACGACCAGACGACAACACACTGAAATATGGCAGGAAACACCAGTGTGAAAATCGACATTACGCAGGCGCAATACGTTGATGCTCATGCCCATAATGAAGGTTAAAATTGTAGTAGGGTACTGCCTTACTATTGTTGCTCTACTACTACTATTGTACTCTACTACTATTGTACTATTGTTGCTTTACTAAAATTGTAGTAGAGCACTGTTCCTACTGTAGTAGTAGTAAACTTGTAGTAGGTGCAACTGAGGTCATGATGAAAATGTGCATCAAGATTTGTTGACACGACATATGAAAATCCGTCCAATGAGTTTACATTTATAATTGCTACCTACATCCTCTTTTTTTTCTACTAATATTTAGTTCCTTTCCCTGCAAATTATTCTTAAACTGATTTGGCTAATATATTATGGTGAAGGTCGAAGAACGTGATGCTCTCAGGTGCAAATAAACAACCATTAAATAATAACAATTGATGTAATATGCGTGTAAATAATAAATATGTAAATAAAGCACCTGTATCGCTTCTCTTCACAGGATGGCACGTGCTGCACCCTGGGCATTTGGTTACTATCTAGCGCCCCCTGCTGGGCATTAGAACTCTGCTCCAGCTGTTGGCGGTCGTATTCGATCAGTTCTTTTCTGGTGGCTAGCACTTTCTGTAAGATGCGAAAAATCACAAATCTCTATCGGTGCCATGAAGCAACTGTTAATCAACACTACCATATGAATGACTCCCATTCAAGCAATTGGACCTGTTCCCAATTGTGTCCCCCCTGTTGCTCCATTGGAGAGGCACATTGTCCTGGTACAGTGTTCAGTGTAATTAGACTAACTTTATTTTACTGAATTTTCCCCGACTTTTACCCAGATCGGCCTTTCGACAGAAATCGTCAACTTCGTCCCGAGTTTTACTGGAAAAACGAAATTCCCCGATTCCCCAGCGTTCCCACTATCGCAGTACTGCAGCTAACGCCACCTGGTGCCCACCTGTATGATTTTACTGAGGTCGTCGAAGGCGGCCTTGCACTCTCCGCAGTATTTCTGAGCGAGCAGTTGTATCGCTCGGTTGACACTGCTCGCTGGAGTCTCGTTGTTGTCACCTTCCTACAATGCAAAATTCCCACAACGTAAACCATGTAAACCGAGCTACCGTACAGTCAAAAGAAAACAAACTGCCAAAGTCCCCCTTTCCATGGAAACGGGCAACGAAATAGCAGAAAAACTAACAGAACTTAACTTTAAACTACAGAGTTTTGGTGGTAACGTAACCCGTCCTGTGTTCCTTTTTAAACACATACGGCATAATTATAAACACAGAATTACCATTTTACACTATTTCAGTAGAGTGTTCTAATTCACCTTTGTAATGCATATGTGAACATATTTTCAGGTAACATGAGCAATACAAGTCAATAAATTACGATTATTCTTATTCTTATTATTACTACTACCATGCTTCTTCCTCTTATTATTATTACTCTTATTGCTATTATTAAATTCACACGTGCACACATTTCCATGTAACGTGCAACAAAACCTAACAAATCAACAACATCAGCATTATTAGTAGTAAATGTCGAGCACTAACCGGTATTTTCTCTCCCCCGTGTTCGCTGACACGCTGCAGCAGGGCGTCAAGCGTGGGTCTGTACGACACCAGCTGCTTGTACACTCTGTCTGCTTTCTCCAGCAGGCTGTTAATGTTGCTGATCGCCTGCACACATACACACACACACACATGCTCAAATACTTTCACTTGACTTGCTCATTTAGGTATTCATCGATGCAAACATTACGAACAATATGTATGTGAATAACATGTGGGGGGGCTAGTTGACTACCATGAATTAATATGTATTGAATAAATTAACATGTAATTGAAATTAATATTACAAGCACGCTTATTTACATTATGGCCGTTGAATAGTTACACTTAGATGTCATGTTACAGTTGCATTTCCTTACAAATTCCGTATTCTGAGTAGAGAAAGGAATTCAGATGTGTCTTCTGCCATAAATAGTGCCATCTAATATAGAATCTGACAATTTTTATAACTGTGCTTGATCACCCTTCACGCATATTACAGACGCACATACATTCAGAGCTTAGATAGCAAATAAATTTTTTTTTGAGCGATGGCGCAGCTGTCTCACTTAATAATTCAACGAGCAGACTACCATTAAGTCTTCCACACACCTTCTTCCTATCCTCTTCATTCTCGATAGGATCTACTGCACAGCAAGGCTTCGCTGTCAGGTTGTAGTCAAACTTGGCATACTTGCAGAAGCCGCACGCATTGCAGAGGAACGGATCTTTTTCATCGTAATTGATGGCCCTGGAAGAACCAAACAGATTAGGAAGACAGGTTAGCATGAACCGAATTCAATGCTTATTATGAAGCTGGACTCAAGCTATTCATTGATATGACATGAACGTATAAAAGAAGACATGGTAGCTGTAATGAAATAAAATGACGATAAATACATTTATTACAAAAATGCATAATAAAACAAACAAGCAAACTGATTTGCAACACCAGGGATGAGACAATTTGCATTTAGAGTTGATCACATGTCAGCAAAAAAACGAAAATACCAGTAAAAATATTCATGTACGTTCCTACCTGCACTTATGACACTGGAACACATTCTCGCCACAGTTGTTGCAGACGCCTGGATACGACGGCACAGACGCACTGCAGCGAGGACACTGCAGCGTCTCTGCAGACGCCTGCATGCAAAACAAGTGATCATCAGTTTCAGAGACACGTTGAATACCCTTTTTCATTTTTTTTTCACAATTAAAATTCATTATCACGCAATATTTTTCCATTTTAAATAACGTAATACTAATATGTCGTTTAGTACATAAAATTCAAGATTTAATTAAATCGTAGAGATTAATACAGCGAACGACTAAACTAGAAATCGAGGTCGCGTGCCTGGAAGTTCTCGTAGAAGTCTGCGTATTCGATCATCAGGTTGCAGGCGACGATAGGGAGAGGGAACTCCACCTTCAACTCTGTCTGTCCCGCAGTCAACGAGCATTTCTTGGCGCGATGCCACATCTGCGGCCTGCGATCATCATCAATCGCATTATAGTAACATGCCCACATGCTCAGACATCGCGCAGCAGCGAGTGATGCGTCCTAGCACGCATACATATGATCGTGTGCTACACACAGAGCATTATTATGTGCACGTGTGCATATCCACACATACAGAAGACACACTCACACATGCACGTACGCACGCCCCTCCCCCTCCCATGCACGTAATTGTTCTTCAACTATACGATTGCCCGCCCCGCCCGCCGGCCCGCACACGAACACACACATATTTGTTCTTCACCTTTACAACTGTCTGCCCAAACGCCAACAAACCCACCCTGCCCACACGTACTTCTTACCACATCTGCCCACCCACGCATACTTTTTCTTTAGCACCACCACCGCCTGTACGCTCCCGCACACACACTCACCCTGCCCACACATACTTGTTCTTCGCCTCTATGACCATCCGCTCACCCGCCCGTACGTACTTGTTTTTCAGTTCGACGACGGCCTGCACGGAGCGGTTGTTGTAGTAGAAGTTGACGGTGCGCACCATCTTCGTGCGCTTGAGGTCGGTGACCCTCAGCGTGACCTTGCTGATCACGTGACTGCCGATGAGCTTCACAATCTGTGTCGTCGTCGTGAAGCGAGAGTCGACCTTGATCGACGACAGCTTGATGCCCTGCGCAGACAGCACGACGGCAGACGATAAAACGGCAATTGTTTTTTTACTCAAAAACAATAATAGAAATTTATTCCAGTAGACAATGAAGCGCCGATAAGTTTTTCTCCATTTTTTTTAAATTGTATTTTTTAGTTATGTAATTACAATATTTGCTTCGTAATTTTTTTAATAGGGTTTAGCATTTTTCCACCAATGTCCGTGGTTAAACTAATATATATTTATATATATATGTAGATATGTATATATAAATAAATATATATATATATATAAATAAATATACTGACGTTGGTCAAATGTCTAGGAATAAACTGAACAAAAATGGCCGCCGCACAACACGCGAGCTATGCACAACTACACATCGCCATAGCAGCTACGGTTTTCTTCTCCTATGGGCTTCACTCACCGCGAAGGGCACCTCCGGGTTGCTGCACACGAGGCAGGGGTCGCTCTCCAAGTAGTATCCATCGAGTTCGACGAGACCAGACAGCATGTTGTAGATGTTAGCGTTCGGATGGTTGGCCAGCAGCTGGTTCTGCGTGCGCAGCACCGCCACGGCACGCTCCACAAAGTCATTCGCCTGCACACACACACACGCGTGATTAGTATTATTGTTATTATTATGTATTTATATATATTATTGTTGTTGTTGTTGTTGTCGTTATTATTGTTCTTATGAGTATTGTTATTGTTATTCTTACATTATACTTTTATACTTATTATTACATCATATTTACCATCATTATTATATATCATATCAGGCACACTTGCATGCAAACATACATGCACACACACATTCACACGCACGCACATGCATGCACGCACACACACACTCACGCACGCACCACACTAACATACAGCAAGTGGCTTCTTAAAAAAAAAATTATTTACAACCAAGTAATACCACCCAATCACATAACACACAGGATCTCGACACACACGCAGGTATGTGCGCGTGCATACACCAATACATCGAGCTAGCATAAATAATAATAATATCGAAAGAAATAATCTCGACATCGACCAGTATATGAATCTCAACCTTCTTCTCCGAGTGAGGGGTCTTCAGAGCAAAGTATCCGAGCAGGTCTACAAACTGCGCAGCCTTGCGTCCGTAGTTGGGCAGCTCCGGCCAGATCTTCCACATGAGAGCGAGCAGATTGACCTGCTGCGTGAGTGTAGAGTTCCTGCAATGCGCAGATGGAGACACTCGCTGATATCCCCCCGAGTTTCTAATTGTCTCTCTATGAACGTCGCGTCGCAACGGGGTGTAAAAGCAACGCGGGTGAAAATGCGCGTGTTTATCCGACACTCGCTGACGTGCCGAGTCAGTGCGATATTGTATCGCGACAGGGTGAAAGCAAGGGGGTCGAAATGCACACGTTTACCAGACACTCACTGACATCCCCCAGAGTCAATTGTGTCTATCCAACTCTCCCAGCGGAGTGTAAAACCAAGGGGGAGGGGGGGTATAATGCACACGTTTACCAGGCACTCACCTACTGCCCCCCACCCCCGAGTCAATCGTCACAAAGATTTTGATCACCTATCCGTGCAATATTATGCCGATACATCTGACGAATCTAATGCATCTACCTATGGCAGTTACCTATATATATATGAACACCAGCACCTACCTGTATATGTGCAGGATGAGAGCGTGGGCCTGCCAGCACCTACCTGTATATGTATGAACACCAGCACCTACCTGTATATGTGCAGGATGAGAGCGTGGGCCTGCCAGCGCACGGAGGTGGAGTTGCTGTCGAGGAGGAAGCATCGCAGGAACTGGCTGAGCATCGCCGCGTCGACGAACCGGTTCACCTGCTGCACGAGACTGATGCACAGCGCCTCGTCGTACTTCTGACCGTCCGCCTCTGCAATAAACACGAGCGAGACGAGGATCACGAGACGGTTGAGACGATCGGTGAGACGGTCGGGATTTCGACAAGACAACAAGAATTGCGAGACAGTCTAGACGATCGCGAAACGGCGATCGCAAGACGGCCGAGACAATCGCGAGACCATCACGAGACGATCGCGAGACAGGGACAAACTACCGACGTGAGACCCCTTGTTAATTAGCGGACACCTCTACACAAGGGTGGCTACCTTCAGATTTCTCCTTCTCCGCTCTGTCCCTGCTGTGCTTCGCTGGCGAGCTGCTTCTCGACACACCAGAGGGCGCCCCTGACGCGGAGGCGGCTGCCGCGGCTGACTGCGCAGCCCTGGCACCACACAGCGCACACTGCAGCAGCTGCAGCACGATGGGGTAGACGCCCTCGTTGAAGAGAAAGCTGACCTGGATGAGGAATGATAGCACGCCTGCAACGAGGAGAGAGAGAGAGCATGAATATAGGCTCTGAACGTGAATTTCCAAGATTCAAGAAGATTATTTTCCAATTATAATAATTATATTATATATTATTTATTATTTATTTATTAGATTCCAAGAATATTTATTTGCGCATAAAATGCATCTAAGGATGTATGTGTGTGTGAAATTTACAAGACGATTTAAAATATAGAACGACAACGTTAAACGGCAATTTACATTAAGAATTACAGACAGAGCAATTTACAAACAAAATGGTCTTAACTTAAATAACACTATTACAATATCTAGTGATCTGTCATATTGCATAGCATATTATATGTAGCATGCACGTTACACGTGGCTAGATGTTGCCACGTGCACCCTCAACATTACATATACGCTCAACATACTCTCGTCCTTCTGACAGAATTTCTGCCAGTTGCTCGTGCGTGTGCTGGCGATGTCGGCGCACGCCTTCAGGTGTTCGATGAGTGAGATCAGGTTGTCGTACGTCAGGCTGATGGCACTACACGCACTGCTAGTATTGAAGTCGAACCCACCCTGCGCACAGAGAACCTGCAGCGAAAAAGTCAGCTCCGTAAATTCACACGCAGTCGGCACACATCGTTACGCCACTGGGTCCGGTATATTAGTGTATATATAATGTATGGTGTCCAGTATATATAGTGGAACAGGTATGCGTAAATAATAAGAGTTGTGGGTTTTGTGGTAAAAGCACAAAAATTGGCGTATATGACGTTAAGGGTATATTTAATGATTCCAGATATCATGCATAATAGTAGCAGTTTTATGGTTACATGGGAACATGGCTATATAGCTGTACATGATTCTACGAATCAAGCCGGTGTATGCGATACATATCGCATTTTGTATCGAAAGCTTTGCCAAGGGGAAAAGGATGGAAAAAAATAAGAGTGGTTTTTTGTTATTGACACGTTACGGGTGATGATTCGTCATGGGCTTGAACACATCCCTTGAAGATGCCCCCTCCCACTCCAAGTTAAGTTAAGCCAGCTGGAAGAAGAAAGCTGGCAAACAAATAAATATGCAATGGATGACAAAAGGTAGGCTGGACACAACAGCAGGGGCGTAGCTACGGGGGGCCTGGAGGGGCACGTGCCCCCCCACAAATTTTCTGTGCCCCCCCAGGTGCCCCCCCCCTAAAAATTCATGCTTGATAAAAAAAAATTGAATTAAAAACAATGCAATTAGAACAGTATAATACAAAGAAAAGTTATATATTGTGCCCCACCGCTGAAAAAATCCTAGCTACGCCACTGCACAACAGACAACCAACTCTCTGCAGCTCACACACGTAAGAACAGCGTCAGAACAACACAATCTGCAAACCATTACGAGCCTTAGACCTAGATTAGGAGCTAAGAAATTACTAAGATGGAGGCGCGGATGCAGTTCATGGGGGCGAGAAAAAAACACACAGCAGGCGGTAGGGACTCGCGCGTGACGACGGAGCAACAACAAAAAACAGTGAGCGTGTGATAGAGGGCGCCACCTTGACGTTCTTCATGTGAGACTCGAGGGCGTGAAGGTCGCGCAGCTGCCGATGCTTGTCCTTGGAGCCGCAGATGAAGAGCAGCAGCTTGCGCACCTGCCTGCGCACAAACGGCGTCTGCTGAGTCATCATGTACTGCAACAGCAAGCAACACGGTGAGCGATGAGCAAGCAGCAACAACAACCATGCCTGGGGGCCATTGTCAGAAAGAAAATTAGTTTTAACATTAGTCTTAACATAAACACCGCACGATGACGATACGATACACAACAGCTGTTCTGCATAACTATGATTATTAAACAAAACTATTACAATTCTCATAAATGAATGCTCTGTTCTCTTATTTTTATGTATTATTTTATATAATATATTATCGATTATTTTCTTTTTCTTTATCTTGTTATCTATTATCATATATTATTCAAGTAGCTGTCAGAGATAGGATTGGAGAAAGAACATAGTTTTAATATGCTAGCTAGCACTTATTCGGCAATGTAATGGGATCACTAAGAGGAAAAACGGGCAGTAAGAGTTCATTATCATTAACCATGGTTACGTGTGCATTGTGCCTACCTCGCAGAGGTAGTAGAACCAAGCCTGGTCGAAGACCGGCGTAGTGACGGAGGGAACCGAGTCAGCTATCTTCTTCATCTGGTAGGGCAGTCTCAACACCATCTCTGTCAGCAGCTGCGGGTAAGCTTCAAACACGTCGTTTGCGTGACCCTGCGCAACACGTGACGAATAACGATTATCTATTTGTTCGTTCATTCAACAGTTATTTATCGTATCTGGGTTGACATAACTTACGTATCACATATATTTGCTTGTGTGAATGGTCACAAGATCATTTGTCTTATTTAGTCATGCATATTGGCACTCGTATAACTACGCCTTGAAGGTTCATGCTATAACTTTTGCATTTCTTTACCCCTCTGTCAGTTGACCTAATGGAAAAGTCACCCATTCCTTCATTCTAGCAAGAATAACAGGAGTAAGAGACCCCAACACAACATAAAGGCATTAAAATTGCACATTTAATAGCCTTAGTTTTCTTATGATTTATCACGTGGAACTTAATATATATTAAATTTTAATACCTGTTATATAATTTTGTTTTAATTTACTATTAAAATAAATGTTAAATATTAAATCTTATAACCACTCAACTAGCCTCACCAAATCATTTTCCTAAGCGCTATAATCATCAGACAGCCACAGACCCCAATATGTACAACGATGTTGGACGAGACCATGACAGCACACCACGTCCGTACAATCCACCAATGCAACCAAATAAAACATATTTAAAAAAACCCCGACAAACGGCACCCCGTCCAATCGCCGCCTACCTTCACGTATTGTCGCAGGAAGAACGGAGACATGTCCGGCGGCGGCGTGAGCGGGTGCGGCTTCAGCAGACGCCCCGTCGCCACCCCGCCGCCGCTGCCGCCGCCGCCGCCGCCGCCGCCGCTGCTGCCTGCGGTGGCACCCTCCTCGTCGCCTCCCTGCATCTTCCAGTGGTCGAGCAGGGATTTGAGGATGAGCAGTCCGTAGTCGATCGCGTTGGCAGCGAGGAGCGCCGACGCCGTCGCGTTGCTGATGAACGACGAACTCTGCGCAAAAACGATGACGACACGATGAAATTGTTTAATCAATAGATTAATTAATAATTATTAATTAGATTGTTTTCTGTGCAACGTCGCCGCATCGATCGTTACAATCGTTCCGATCAAGGCAATCAGATCATTAGAAAACACCTGCAAAAAGGAGCGGTATATTTTTTTTGTGACAAAATATAAACCAGATAATTTCTAAAGACAAACTGCGGAACGCAGAGTCAGTAGCAGAGTGCGTCAGTAGGAGTGAGAGAGGGTTGGTGTGAGTGAGCGAGGGTTGGTGTGAGTGAGCGAGGGTTGGTGGGAGTGAGGGAGGGTTGGTGGGAGTGAGGGAGCGAGGGTCGGTGGGAGTGAGCGAGGGTTGGTGGGAGTGAGCGAGGGTCGGTGGCAGTGAGGGAGGGTCGGTGGCAGTGAGCGAGCGTTGGTGGGAATGAGGGAGGGTTGGTGGGAGTGAGCGAGCGTCGGTGGGAGCGAGGGAGCGAGGGTCAGTGGGAGTGAGGGAGCGAGGGTCGGTGGCAGTGAGGGAGGGTTGGTGGGAGTAAGCGAGGGTCGGTGGCAGTGAGGGAGGGTTGGTGGGAGTGAGCGAGCGTCGGTGGGAGCGAGGGTCAGTGGGAGTGAGGGAGCGAGGGTCGGTGGCAGTGAGGGAGTCAAGGGCAGGGCAGCCAAAGAGCTCTGGAGAGCGAGCAGGCAGCAACATAGACTCCGTAGAACAGAACGGTAACGCCGAGGGAGGGAGGAGGGAGGGTAGGAGGGAGGCGAGGAGGGAGCAGGCGGCAGCCAGAGCTCTGAGAGCCGAGCGACATGCAACATAGACTCCGTAGAACAGAACGCGTAGGCGAGGAGGAGGGAGGGAGCTTGGGAAGGAAGAGAGAGAGAGGGAGGAGCAGGCGGCAAGCCAGGAGCTCTGCAGAGCGAAGCACAGCAACGAATAGACTCCGTAGAACAGAACGGATGCGAGGAAGTAAGAGGGAGGGAGGCGAGAAGGGAGGTTGACGAGGGAAGCAGGCGGGCAAGCCCAGAGCGCTGAGAGCGAGCAAGCAGCACAATAGACTCCGGTAGAATCAGAACGGTAGCGCGAGGAGGGAGAGAGGGAGGGAGGGAGCGGGGGCAGCGAGGAGGCCGAGAGCAGCGCAGGGCGGCCGGCCCCCACGGCCGCAGGCCAGAGGCTTCTGAGAGGGCGCAGCACAGCAAACATAGACCCTCCGTAGAACAGAACGGTAAACGCGAGGGAGCGAGAGAGCAGCGGGGAGAGGGAGCGAGGGGAGGGGAGTTGGAAAAGAGTGACGGAGAGGGAGGGAAGGGAGCAAGGCGGGCAGCGCAGAGCTCTGAGAGCGAGCACAGTGCAACATTAGAGCTCGCGTAGAACAAGAACAGTACAGCGAGGAGGGAGGGAGGGAGCGGAGACGGGGGAGGAGGGAGGGAGCGGAGGGAGCAGGCAGGCGAGCCAGAGCTCTGAGAGGCGAGCACAGCAAGCATAGACTCGCGTAGGAACAACGGTACGCGGAGGGAGGGAGGTTGGAAGGGAGGAGGCGAGGCCAGCAGGCAGGCAGCCAGGAGCTCTGAGAACGCGAGCACAGCAACATAGACTCGCGTAGAACAGAAGTAGCGCGGAGGGCCCGGGGAGGAGGGAGGCAGCGGGGAGGGAGGGAGCGAGGGAGCAGGCGGCAGCCAGAGCCCTGAGAGGCAGAGCACAGCAAAACATAGACTCCGTAGAACAGAAACGGTAGCGCGAGGAAGGGCAGGGAGGGAGGGAGGTTGGAAGCGAGGGAGGGCGGGGAGGGAGGGAGCGAGGGAGCGAGGGAAGGCAGGGCGGCCGCCCAGAACTCTGAGCAGCGAGCACAGCTAAGCATAGAAACTTCGTAGAACGAATGGTATGCGAGGGAGGAGGAGGGAGGCGAGGGAGCAGGCCAGGCAGCCAGAGGCTCTGAGAGCGCGAGCATGAAAAAAAGCAACCATAAGCGACTCCGTAGAAGCAGAACGGTAGCGCGGGAGGGAGGAGAGGTTGGGCAAGGGAAAGGAGAGAGAGAGGGAGGGAGGGCAGGGGAGCGGGGAGTGAGCAAGGGAAGCGGGGAGGGAGGGAGCAAAGCAGGGCAGCAGCAGAGCTCTGAGAGGCGAGCAAGGGCACAATTAGACTCCGTAGAACGTCCGCGGGGAGGGAGGCAGGAGGGCAGAGCAGCGACAGCGAGGGGGGAGAGTCGCGGACGGGGGGGGAGGGGGGGACTGAGAGGGGGGGGAAGGGGGGGGACAGGGAGAGGCGGAGGGGGCCGGGGAGGGAGGCAGGGCAAGCCCAGAGTCTCCTGAAGCCGAGCACAGCAACATAACTCCGTAGCCATCAGCAATGGTAACGCGAGGAGGGAGGTTTTTTGCATAAATTTTCGGATGGGGATTGGTGCAATATTCTCCTCTTTTTCTCCTCTCTCACTTTGAGGGCTATTCAGCTGATATTCGTGATAGGATTAATGA